TATATTATTTTTTCATAAAGTCACATGTACGGAATAGATCAAAGACACTGAAGCAAATTAACAAAATGAATATGAATATCATTAGATTAAGCAATGTGAAATCACTGTTTTTATAGGTCAAAATCAGTAGCATGTTGACAATTTCATGTGGTTCAACCTCAAAAAGTATGAACACAATAGTGTAAAAAAATGTATATTAAGCACATGAGAAGTTCAATATATTCTTAAGACACTATCAATTCAATGCTAATTAAGATGGTTCCTGGCTATAAAATATATGGCTAAGTGGGGGATATGAATAAGTAAATAGAATAGAAGATGATACAGTAATGTAAATTTGTGAATCAATAGTTCTCAACCTTCACTAAGTAAACAACAGAATCCTCTATAGTTCAGTTTTCACTTCAGATCTCCAAGAGTCTGGATCAGTCTCTTGGATTTGGTATTCGAAAAACAATAACTTCTGAAAAATAAATGGGTTGAAACAAAAGTAGGGACTTCAAATGCCAAAACCAGTGGATTTATAAATTTCTCAGAAAGAATAAAAACTGGCACAATGAAATGTATCTTGATGTTAGCGATATCCCAGGTCCAACTGAGAAACTGACTAAAGTTGTACATGCTTTTTGTAGAAAGGCATATGGCTGGACTTGCAATGGGAGATCCACAGACCCAGCAACAAGGAATTAAGAGCTCTTGCATTAGAGGGTATTGATGAAAATCATAAATATATTTTATTTTGTTTTTGAAAATAAGAAACATACTTTAACAAATGAAGCAGAGAACTCTGGTGGCATAGTGGTTAAGCAATGGAATGCCAACCATAAGGCTGGGGGTTCGTACCCATTAAGTGCTCTGCTGCAGAAAGATGTGGCACTCTCTGCTTCTGTAAAGCTTTATAGCCTTGACAATTCTTTAAGGCCAACTCTATTCTAAATAAATCATATATAGGATAACACTGCCTTTCCCCCCTTTGTCTAGGAAGCAGACAATTACGCCAAATAGATTTATTAATATTTTTAAAAATAAACCAAACTTTTGATTAAAACAGACTTAAGGTTTTACAGCAGGTAGCACACAGCATAGCATCTACCAGAAACAAAGTGAATGAGGGAAGAGGCAACACGTGAACTAGCCACAGAAAGACCTTTAGATTAGAGGTGCTTTTATTAGGACAAAAACAGTAGTAGTAGTAGTAGTAGTAGTAGTAGTAGTAGTAGTAGTAGTAGTAGTAGTAGTAGTAGAGCATACTTAGACTCTGTTAAGTAGATGGTATGTTCCTTTAAAGGGAAAGTGAGAAAGGAACACAAAAGTAATGATCCTGGTATGAATCTCTGGTAGTCTAGAAACACTGAAGCCTGGATGTGCTCTTTGTGCAAATATCAGGAATAAATTAATCACAAGGGCAAGAAGAATAGAGCGCAGAGCAGAGAAAAAGTGAGACCGGTAAGCATTTCATCATACTCTACTTTTTGAAAAACAAGTAAGCTCAACTTTTTCAAATTTTGAACCTTTGAAAGTAAATTTGAATATGTAAATTTTCTCACTTGAGGAAATAATCTCATAGAAATGAATAAAAGTTCATGCATAAAATACCATAGATGTCAAAGCACATGTTCAAAATTCAATAGCTAGCCAAGCATTCGGAGGCATCTCTTTCAATAGCACTTATGTCCCAAATATTTCTTTGTCTATTTTCCAAGCCTGTTTTACTGCAGCCATCAGTACCTTCCATTTACTATGGAAACAAAGTATTACGGTGATTACATTTCCAAGGCACCTAATAAGCCGATATTAAGGTACATCTTTTTCTGTTTTATTCTTATGCTTTTACTTCCTTTATTTTGCTTCCCCAGCTGCTGATATAATTGCTTCACTCTCTAGGACTCTGTTTTTGTACAAAGACTAAGGTGTGTCTGATACAGGCCATGGTCTTTGCTATCACTTGTTATGCATCAGAGAGTTGGATAATGACTGAGGAGGACAGAAGGAGAATTGATGCCTTTGAGCTATGGTGCTGGAGAAGAGTATTGACAGTACAATGGACTGCTAGGAAAACAAACAGATTCATCCTGGAAAGGGTCAAACTGGGCTGCTCCTTGGAGGAAAGGATTCTAAGGCTCCGTCTAACATACTTTGGACATGTTGCAAGGAGGGACAGGTCCTTGGAGAGGGACATCATGCTTGGTAGGGTGGAGGGACAGAAGGGGAAGGGCCCTATGAGGTGGATTGATTCACTGATTGGGGTAATTGAGATGGGTGTATCGGAAACAGTGCGATTGGCACAGGACAGAGCAGAGTTTAGGGATGTTGTACACAGGGTTGCTATGAGTCGCAAGCGATGGCACATAACAACAACAACTAGGACTCTGAAAAACCTCATTAGTCCCTCTCTCCTTTGCTCTCTCTTTCTACAACATTCTTTTCCCTCCTCCTCTCTGCTGACACTTAGAAACAGACATTCTTTTGACCTTATTAATAATGAGAACAATATAAGCACCATGTGCAGTTCTCAATGACAGGAACACTTAATGTAATAATGACATTTTGTTGTATATTTAAGATGTAAAACCAAGAATAATAGGAATTTTAGATCTAGCTTTGCAAACACAACTGAGGGCTGCATTCTACTTATTTCCGGAGCAACATAACTGGATATACATAACTCAGTATTTTTAATATATCTGGGCATTATGTCTACTTATAATATAGTCTATTATGCTATACATTTAGCTATGTTTGATTTAATAAATAAAATTGCATTTCCACATACCTCTGTAGGAGTTTGTTGAGCCTTTTTTTCAGATTTTGGTAAGTCTTTGCTTCCTCTTCTTTTCAAGGATAACTGAAATAAAGCATTAGTACATTTAGTTTGAGGAATGTTAATCTGAATTTACATTTTTTAAAAATTTTATTAATTTTAATGAACATTTACAGAGATTTTGGATTTTCATTCATTCATTCATTGTTGCACTTTTTTCTTTACCCCCACCTCCAAGTTCACTCACCTCCCTGAAAAGCAAAAGATAAACTTCTTCGTTGGTATACAATCCCCCCTCCCCCGAACCTACCCCTCTCTGCCCCACCCCACCCCCAATGCACTCTGCTATTCAACCTTAATTCTGGATTCCTGTGATAATCATAATATGCTATCATACATCACTTTTATACTGTTCTCTCCCTCATCTGTTTTCAATTAAGTATACATTATCTATCCAGTTTTTCTCAGTCTTACCCCAAACCTGATGTCTGTCACTTTCACAATTTTAAGGTAGCTCTTAAAATGGTAATGTATCTGAAGGGAATTGTGCTGTTAATGTAAAGGCCATACATTTCTGGTGGTTCAGAATCACCAAGAACTCTGAGGGAGAAAGGCAGAAATCTCCTGCTGCACAATGTACAGTCTCGGAAATCCAATGGAGGGTCTGCTATGAATAAGTTCCAACTAGATCGCAATGGCTTTTTGAGTGTAACATGATGAATTTATGCCAGATAAAAAGAATTTTTCAATAGTTGTGAAAGAGGAAAAGCCTCAAAGTAGATGTAGATTTTTACTTTGGACTGATACACACATCACAGACAGAACCTTGAGCCAGTTCTTCCTGGTTAGACATGGCCAACAAAGCAGAAGCATAGCAGACGTAAATTTGTAAAATGAGAGTGAACTCGAATGACAACTGGAACTGGAAACATTAGCAGTTAACAACCTACTATAAAATTAATCTCTCCCTTAGATAACAAGGCAGTGTATATGCTGCTTAGCAAACAAATGTCTTGATTAGCAAAGTTGGTAACAGTGGTGCCCCTCTCAATGGTAGTGGTCAATTGTGTATCTTTCATCTTTCAGTGTATATCTCCAGTGGCAATAATCCAATCTCCAGCATTAAGCTTCTAAAAAAGGCTCACTACACCTCTTCCAAGTCTTCTATTTGAAAGCATTTACCTATAAATTTTTCTATCCCTGTTATTACTCTTCTTTCTTCAAATTTTAAGAGTTTTGTTTATAATTCATCTGTGTATTTGAATTTTGTAAATAAACTAGTAGAAAATAAAACAAAATTGTTCTGACTTTGCTTAATTGGCTATGATGTAACTAGATCTAACAGGTTCAAAGCTCTGATCACAGTAAATAAACAGCTGCCAATTATCTAATTTATTTTTAAAAATACAGGAAACCTACTATGAAAATGCAGCTCAATCAACAAAATTTAAACTGCTGACTCAACATGCTACAGAGTTCAAATGAAAGTAATTTAAGTCACATATACATATACACAAAAATAGGGGAGCTCTGGTGGCCTAGTGGCAAGAAGCTGCACTGCAATCCCAGAGGCGCACGGTTCAAATCCACCAGATGCTCTGCCGGGAAAGGAGGGACAATCTCCTCCTGTACCAGTCAGATATGATTTGACAGTACACACACACACACACACACACAATAATAATAAAATAATAATAATAATAAAATAACTACATCATTATTTCCATCAATGGAGATAAATTGGTGTAGCTTGCCAAGTCAACTTTCAGTAGATTTGTTATAGAACGTAAGACTTTTCTCTCTTACACATCCATGTAAACACATGCAATGCATATGAACATACAGTAGGAAGTTATGCCCGATTTAAAAGGGCTCAACAACAACTCAGTGTGATAGTGTTGGAACCCACCCAAAGCTGACTTCCAGAGCTGATATCTAGAAGCTATAAATCATACAGAACGTGACTGCATATTTTTTACTGAGGAGCAGCTGATGGATTAGAATCCCCAGTCTTTGGGTTGGCAGCACAATTAATTACTTAACCACGAGGCTACCAGAGTTCTCTCTGAAAGGTCTAGCAGGCTAGAAAGTCACTTCAGCTGATTGCACAATACAGGAATGTAGGTTTTTTATTGCCAGATCTTCATTTTAAGAAAAAATTAGAAAACTGGATTTTTAAGCAAAATATCCCAACTATTAAAAGCTGGCCTTAGTCAAGATAAAAGTTGAGTACAACGACAACTCTGCAGATAAATGAATACATGTTGTCAGGTTCTACAGGGGCCAACTTAACTCATAGCAATGTCCTGCACAGCAGATTCTGCACTATCATCACAGTATTTGCTGTGCTGAAGCCCATTGTTCTAACACTATGTCAATTTATTTCATTAAGGGACTTCTCTTTCACTAATTCTCCATGTTTCCATGGATTAGTTTCTCTGACAACACTACTAAAGTATGTGAGGTGGAATTTTGCAATCTTTGCTTGCATTCTGGCTGTGACAGATTTGTTCTTTTGGCAGTCCATGTTATATTTAATATTCTTTGATAATACCATAATTCAAAGGCATCGTTTTTTTCAGTGTTCTTTATTAATTTTTCAACTTTCACATATATCTAATGCAATTGAAAATACCAAGGCATGGGTCAGGTGACATAAGTGTTTAAACTGACATCCTTGTTTTTTAAGCACTTCAAAGAGGTCGCTGTTAGCGGATTTGTCCAGTCCAATATGTCATTTGATTTCTTAACTGCTGCTTCCATGGGTGTTAATTGTATTTCCAAGTAAAACAAAATCCTTGTAATTCCAATCTTTTACCCTTCATTGTGATGTTGTTTATTGGTCCAAATGTGAGAATTTTTGTTTTCTTGATATTGAGGTTTAATACATAATAAAGGCTATTATCTTTTATTTGTCAAACATTCTTCTAGGTGGTATAGCACTGGTCTGTGCGTTGCTGTACAGAGGTAACTCGTGGTTGCTGTGATGCTGAAGACTGTGACAGTGATGTGCCAAATGTGGTAATGGGCACCCATGGTGGACAGTGTTGACTGGAGCTTCCCGACTAAAACAAGCCTGGAAGCAGGTGCGGCATCCACTTCTGAAAGGGCTTGCCTCCGGAAACTCTATGTACGAACAGTGCTCAGGCTTTTTGTTCATAGGGTTGCTATGAGTCATCTACAATTCAATGACACCTAACAATAACTAACATCTTTTATTTAGTAAGTGTCTGAATTTCTCTTCATGTTCAGCAAGCAAAATTATGTCATTTGTATAATTCTGGTTACTTATAAGGATTTCTCCAGTCATAATGCCATAGTCACAGTTTTTTGGAGGACTTAATATGATGCTGTTGGTATGGAGTATTGAATGGACTGTCAGAAGAATAAACAAGTCTGTCTTGAAGGAAATGCAATCAGGGTGCTCCTTAAAGATATAAAAGGTCAGACTTCATCCTTGGAAAAAGACATTATGCTGAGAAAGATAGTCAATAAAGGAGAGGAAGACCCTTGAGTAGATGGACTGATACACTGACTTCAACATTGGGCAACAATATGGTAGAGACTGTGAGAAGGGTGCAGGATAGGACTCCGATCTGTTGTTCACTGGGTGGATGTGAATTGTGGTCAACTTGACAGCACCTAAGCACAATAACAACAGTGCCACATTCTTCTTTATACAGTCCACTTCTAGATAATTTGATCACTTGAATAGGTATGGTGAAAAGGACACAACCCTGATGCACATCTCTCCTGATTTTAAACTAGGTATCCTTTTGTTTTGTTAGAATCACCTCTTGACTTATATACAAAAACCAAACTGTGGCATGCCAAACCACCTTTCAGGGTAACTCCCCTCTATAGCTCTCCTGATCTGCTGTATTTACACATTTCGTCTTGCAGTCATTGTTTACATAACCGTCCTTCTATTTAATGCTCAGGCTGCCAGTACTATCACCTGTATCTGCTTCACTTGTTTCTCAGGTCCTTGTTGTAGAAAGAAAGCATAGTGCAGCTAAGTCACCATCTTAAGAGGCTCTTTGGGTTTATCTTTGAAGGACATGCATGACTCAAACACGGAGAAATCCAAGTAAACAGCAAGACTGAAGGCATGGGAGAATGAGTACAACTTAAATATGACTTAAAAGGCCTGAAAAGAACTGATGGAGGTATGTTTGTTGCTGTTCCAATGAGTGGCTATTCAGTCAACCTATGACTCACGAAGAGCACATACAATTCTCCCTGGTACCACGACTGCCATTGGGATCTATAGTGTTTAAAACGGCTGAGTTTTGGTAGTAGCCAGGCCTTTCTTTCTGGTCTGTCTTAATCTGATGGGTCTACTGAGACCTACTGACCATCAAAGCAATATACAAGTGTCCACTGGAAGATGATGGTGGCTGTGAATTGGATGGAAATAAAATTGGATGGTTTTTCCACACAGTAATACAGTGAGCATTCTACCAATGAACCACCACTAGCCTCTCTCTATAGAGAGTGGAGTCATTATAGAAATAGGATAGAAGATGATGCTAGAAAGATTGAGGTCAGCTTGGTGAAATAAGCAATTTTGACTTTATCCTGTGGGCAATGTTAAAATGAGCCTTGCAAATTAATATAGAAGATATGCTGAAACTAGGACATTTTTTTCCTAAGAGGCATTTTCCATGATATTTTTATTCCAATATCAATCAGACAGTGTATCAAACTCAGACAAAGTTCTGGAAAACAAGGTTTCCTCTTGTAGAACAGTATATTGCCTTCGAGGTGCCCTCAGTATCTCAGGAATGTTAAGTATCACATGTAAATTTTCTATAAATATTTAATTCTCTTTCCACCTTCTTAGTATATTTCCATTTACTCTTTGGGCTCCTATGAAAACAAAGATACAAACACATTCATGCAGACAGAGAAAGTTACAGAAATGATCTAAGTTAAAGCAGTCCCTTCCTCTTGACCGTAAGATGGTATCTTTCATCTGTAACTTTCTCCTGCACTCCATTCAGCTTGCTCCCCTTTCATTTCCTCAATCTAGTGATCTCCACAGAGGGAGCAGTTTAGAAACCTGGAATTCATCTGGGTTT